ACTATGTACGTGTATGTGGTAAAAAAGACACAACCAATTGATTTCTTTTATACCACTTTACATCTTAAGTCCATATACACGAGAGTTATATATTAAAATGGTACGACTTAAATTTATCTTACATAGTTATATTTCAATTTGACATACTCGAAACCCGATTCACCTTAACCCAAATAAACCGAACCTTAATAGGGTCGGGTTTCGTGTGATATATATATATATATATATATATATATATATATATATATATATATATATATATATATATATATATATATATATATATATATATATATATATATATATATATATATATATATATATATATATATGGAAAAACTCCGCCTAATCCGAAACTCGGTCGGATTGACCCAATTAACAACCCTAAATATTCCTATTGAATGAAGTTTGTATGATATTAAATATAGTTGGTATTGTATAATAATAGCTGCTAATTTCACAAGTACAATGCTATTACTAAAACCAAGACATGTAACACATGATTTCAGTACTTTGATGAGCCGCATATGAGAACACCCCATTAATGATTGTACCATGTAGGATGCCATGTAAAAAAACCTGAAGAAACTCATCATAAGGACTAAATGTGTACAAAAATAACAAAGATTTATTTTATGAAAATATATATATATATATATATATATATATATATATATATATATATATATATATATATATATATATATATTAAGGACTAAATATGTACAAACTGAGAACTTAACATGGAGTAGTCGGTTATAAGAACTAAATATATACAAAAATGATAAGTTTAAAGACCTATTTTACTCGGAAAGAAAAAAAAAAAAAAATGATGACTCAATGTATTAAAAATGATACATTTTTAAATTGTTTTCCCTTTAATGAATTGGTGTGTGATGTGTGTTTCCTAAGCTTTAATTTAAGGAATAGGCGGACGATGGAATAGCGTAATAAAAAAAAAAAAGGATATTGACTTGAAAGGGTAATGAACTTTCGATTTTGTTCCCATTTAGTCACTAAACTTTTTTTCGTTATCTATTTGCCATTGAACTATTGAAACTGTTCACATTTTACCCTTATGACCGATTCTTACCGGTAATTAGGGTAAAATATGAACAGTTTCAATAATTCAGTGGCAAATAGATAACGGAAAAAAGTTTAGTGACTAAATGTGAACAAAATCGAAAGTTCGTTTCCCTCTTAAAAAGTTTAATGACTAAATGTGAACAAACTTCTTGTATAATGTTTTAACAAATTATTTATTTTTGTTAAATTGTAGCAACATTTGTTGATGAAGAAATTTATGAAATAAAAAAAGAAATCCGAAAAATATATTAAAAAAAACGAAAAACCGAAACCGAAATAAAAAACCAATGGTTTGGTATTTTTCCAAAATAAAAAATCACAATTTTCCAATCTGATGTTGGTTTTACAAAAATTCAACTTTCAGATATTCATATTTAAATTTCTCCCCCTTTTATAATCGAAAAATGATTATAAAACCAAAAAGGGAATGATAAAGTGCTCAATTCGGAATTTTTCTATCCAAAACTCCCCTTTGTGACATGAGAGATAGAGAGATAAACATGTAAACACCTCTATATAAGACGGGTTCATACCACATGTAGATGTGTGCTTGAGAGATGTAACATTGAGAGTGTTAGTGTGTTAATTATGTAAATCTAGATCTAGATCCTTTTTTGTAAACACATTTATAATCGAATGCATCTTTTAAACAACCAAATCACTATGTTCTTTAATTCCGCATGCAAAATCAATGGTCATAATTCACATCAGTGAGAATGATTCATTTTTTGTAAAGCCAAAATCAGATTGGAAATTTTGATTTTTTATTTTGAAAAATGTCAAACCATTAGTTTTTTATTTCGGTTTCAGTTTTTCATTTTTTTAAAAATATTTTCAGGGTTTTTTTTTTTTTTTTTTTTTTCATAGATTTCTTCATCAACAAATGTTGCTAGAATTTAACAAAAATAAATACTTTGCTAAAACATAATACAATAGGAAGTTTGTTCATATTTAGTCATTAAACTTTTTTAGGGGGAACGAAACTAAATATAAAAAAGTCAAAAGTTTGTTACTCTTTCAAGTCATTATCCTTAAAAAAAAAACGGCATTACCTTGTGCTACAAGACTTGATTTGAGTCCTTTTACCATCTCCCTAACCAACTTCATATTGTACTGATTCTCTGATTCTCAAAAACTATTATATATAGAGTACTAGGTTTAAACCCGTGGAAATCCACGGGTGATAAATTGAAATATAATTATAATTTTTAATTTGTAACAAAAAAAAGATATGAAAGTTTAGAAAAAATGAAGAATAGTGATATTAGCATTAATATGAATAAGTCAAATACAATAAAGTTGTAAAAATTAATTAATTAATATGATAGATGAAGTACGATACAAGAAAAGTAAATAAAAGATGGTAGAAAAGTAAATAAAAGATGGTAGAAAACCATTACAAAAATGTATGAATTAATTTTAAAGAATCAAAGATATAAATTTTGTTTGCAATTGGTTATTGATTATTTATTAAAAATAACATATTTATCGTGACAAAAATAATAGTTATTATAAATAATAGACATAAATGTTCCATGTTTAAAATAATCAACATAAAGATGCGAAGGTGATTATGGTTAATATTCATTATTGGAGTCAAATGCAGTTCACGTGTAAAAGCAAAAATGTTCGCATTTGGTAATACAAGTCAAAATTGGGTTTCGCATATGAGGTTGTATGGATTGGGGTTAAAGATGCGAAGGTGATTATGGTTAATATTCATTTCGTATTTGGTGAGACAAACAACTCAAATGCGAATGAACTAAAAAAAAATGACTGGAACATGCGAAGAAAGAGGGTGAATGAAGAATGTGAATTTTACAGTAGAATGCGAATTGGGGAAGAAAGCTAAGAATTTCGCATTTTTATTATACAAATTGATTGATTGATTGATTTGTCTTAATTGTTAATTGCGATATATGAAATACTTATCAAGTTAGGGGCAATATGGTCATTTTGAAGTAAAAGAAGCCTTGGTTATTAAATGAATCATACGAAGGATCTGTTATTTGATTTTGGAATTGGGGCGAATAATCGAACCATTTGGAGTTGCGAATTTGATTTTGAAAAGCCAATCAGTTGGGTTCGCATATGAAAACAGATAAGTTTTGATTTTGGATTAGCAATTGGGTTAATTGGTTGGTTTATTGATTGAGGGACGATTCGTGAAGAAAAATGCGAAGTCAAGAAGGACTGTGAAATGTGATTTGTTCAATATTGTAGTCAAATGCAGTTCACGTGTAAAAGCAAAAATGTTCGCATTTGGTAATACAAATCAAAAATGGGTTTCGCATATGAGGTTGTATGGATTGGGGTTAAAGATACGAAGGTGATTATGGTTAATATTCATTTCGTATTTGGTGAGACAAACAACTCAAATGCGAATGAACTAAAAAAAAATAAATGACTGGAACATGCGAAGAAAGAGGGTGAATGAAGAATGTGAATTTTACAGTAGAATGCGAATTGGGGAAGAAAGCTAAGAATTTCGCATTTTTCTTATACAAATTGATTGATTGATTGATTTGTCTTAATTGTTAATTGCGATATATGAAATACTTATCAAGTTAGGGGCAATATGGTTATTTTGAAGTAAAAGAAGCCTTGGTTATTAAATGAATCATACGAAGGATCTGTTATTTGATTTTGGAATTGGGGCGAATAATCGAACGATTTGGAGTTGCGAATTTGATTTTGAAAAGCCAATCAGTTGGGTTCGCATATGAAAACAGATAAGTTTTGATTTTCGATTAGCAATTGGGTTAATTGGGTTATTGATTGAGGGACGATTCGTGAAGAAAAATGCGAAGTCAAGAAGGACTGTGAAATGTGATTTGTTCAATATTGGAGTCAAATGCAGTTCACGTGTAAAAGCAAAAATGTTCGCATTTGGTAATACAAATCAAAATTGGGTTTCGCATATGAGGTTATATGGATTGGGGTTAAAGATACGAAGGTGATTATGGTTAATATTCATTTCGTATTTGGTGAGACAAACAACTCAAATGCGAATGAACTAAAAAAAAAATGACTGGAACATGCGAAGAAAGAGGGTGAATGAAGAATGTGAATTTTACAGTAGAATGCGAATTGGGGAAGAAAGCTAAGAATTTCGCATTTTTCTTATACAAATTGATTGATTGATTGATTTGTCTTAATTGTTAATTGCGATATATGAAATACTTATCAAGTTAGGGGCAATATGGTCATTTTGAAGTAAAAGAAGCCTTGGTTATTAAATGAATCATACGAAGGATCTGTTATTTGATTTTGGAATTGGGGCGAATAATCGAACGATTTGGAGTTGCGAATTTGATTTTGAAAAGCCAATCAGTTGGGTTCGCATATGAAAACAGATAAGTTTTGATTTTCGATTAGCAATTGGGTTAATTGGGTTATTGATTGAGGGACGATTCGTGAAGAAAAATGCGAAGTCAAGAAGGACTGTGAAATGTGATTTGTTCAATATTGGAGTCAAATGCAGTTCACGTGTTATTATGTGTTTAAGTTGATTAGGGGTAAATAAGTTAGTTAATTACAGAGATAGTGTAAATACAGAAGTACATTTAGGTAAAATAAAGTGGTATGTCAAATAAATTGATATGTAAAATGAAACATATAAGTAACTGCATAATTACACATATGAATGTAATTCTTCAAGATTTTGTGGGAATAAAGCAATGTAGTTTAAAATAAGTTGTAGGAAAAACAAAATAACATGGCAAACCAAATTATAGGACTACAAAAAAACCCAATGGTCCGAATGTACTTTCAAGAAACAAAAATGACAACCATGAAATCCCAAAAAAAAACATTCAAAACCAAGAAAGATAAAAACGTAAACGGCTTAGGAGTCTATGATGCGAAATCAAAATTAAACACGAAGTAAGATTGTTTGTCGAAGTAAAATGCATTTACTTTTCTTTCTTGGGTACCAAAAGAGGAGTTGGTTGTTCATCTGGTGGTGACAGTCTAGGATTTTTAGAAGTAGACAAATTCTCCATTTCATCAATATCTATGCATGTAGCAAGGTTTCTTTTCAACTCAATTGGTGTAGAAATGAATTTTATAGGACTTGTTGCAGTTGACTTGTCCCTAGCACATGGAGTTAAATTTTCACCGGTCTGTGAAAAAGAATCCTAAAAAAATATTTAGTTAGTTGTTATAAATTAAAACAAAATATTTGAGAAATATATTTTAAAAACTAAAACCTTGAGAACTTTGGTGTCATGAGAACCAACATCTGAAGAACCAATCAATAATGAATCAGAATTAGCAGGCTGCATCACAAGATGAAAACAAATGATATTGAGTCAGATATTGCTGGGTCAATGTGTTAAAAAAACAAAATATAATTGTTGAAAAAAACCTGTGGAGTAAGATTATTTTTTTCCATTTCATCAATTATGTCTGCATTCTCGGTTAATCTTGATATCCTATAAAGATTACTTTTATTATCGACATTGTAACGTGTGATATCAATCTTAATTACCAACTTTCTGTCCAACACAACTTTCAACTCCATTGGATACAATTCCAAATTGTTGCCAAGCTAAAATGTAAATAAATATCATTAGAAAATTTGTATGTAAAATATATAATGCCAAGTTTTAGGCCAACACAATTGTAAACACCTTTTGAAAAAAATCCAAACTGATGCCAAGTTAAAATATAAAATAATACCTTCTTGTTTTTATCATACAACTCTTTAGCTGTGTATTTGAACAAATTCTTTGCTTCTTGGTCAAATAAAGTTAAAGTCAATCTTGCTGTGTTGTCTTGAACCCGAAGTGGGATTTTAAATCTAAATAAAGTATAAAATTATATTATATTAGACAATTATGATAAACATATATTATTATTATATAAAATTAATATCTAATACCTTGGAATAACCGAAATTTTGATATTTTTGCATTTAAGATTAGCACATTCATAAGTAACGATTTCGGCCACTTCATGAGAACCATCAACCTTATCAGTTGAAGACTCTTTTTCTTTTGCTGACTTTTTGCAGTTGCTACAAGCAAGGTAATACCAACGTATAAAGAAAACATATATTTGTTCTAATTACCTACCTGTCTGTATTCTTAAAGTATTTGTGAGAAAACTGATTTTGATTATTATTAAAGTATTTGTGAGAAAACTGATGATTTTAAAACTTGAATAGAAAACTACTGACATCTACTTTTCACATGATGTTAACATAACATTAAGATCATTTTTTTTTATAAAATATAACACGTGTTTCCTTTTTTTTACACTAAAGAATCAATGTTTTTTGTACTTGTGAACATGATTATGCGATTTTTATCTTTTACACTAAAGAATCGATGTTTTTTTACTTGTAAACATATGTATCAAAAACTTTTCTCTTATACATAACAGGGAAAAAAACAAAATATAAAACTGATGAAACAGAAAAGGTAAAGAACAGTGTAGTTTTGCTGACCTGATGATGAATATGTCACCTCTGAAATGTAACCTAACGATGAATATGTGATCTCTGAAATCGTATTGAATAAATCACGTTAACAGGAATCGTATTGACTTCTCAAGTTGTATTGAAATATATCATCTATGCGTAAACTGATTGCCTGATTTTTAGGGATTGACACTATATGGAATTTAAATTGATTAGCTGATAATGGAATTTAAATTGATTAGCTGATTTTTTGGGATGGATATTGCATATTCGACAGAAATCAATTTTAAATTTCCTGATTTACATATTTACTTATTTACTTATTATTTACTTATTCATAATTCATGTTTGCTGATGTAGAAAATGTTTTCGAACAGAAGGGCAAAGTGGGAACTTCACTTATAATATATGAGCGGGAAAACGTAAGGTGGAGAAGCTAAGGGACTGCCAAGTGGCGTTTTCAGTACTGTTTTATTAGTAGAGAAGATATACAATATATATTGAGCGATCTTTTGTTTTTATCTTTGGTAAATCTCACACTTTCTTTTTAATCATATTTCATTTTACTCCATTAATTATGTTTCAGTTTTAAATATTTTTTTATTTTATATTAATAAGTTATTTTTAGAAACTCGTTTATAAAATATAACTTTTATAAAGATAATATAATTAACTAATTATTCAATATTTTTATTTTATCTTTGTGAATATAACATAATATTTGATTTTAAAACAATATATTGTAATTTTAATTATTTAAAAATTAATGTCTAGTGATAGTATTTATTAAAATATAATGTGTGTTTAAAAAACAAATGACTAAAAATATTAAACATAAGAAATTCATTAAGGCTCCAGTGGCCTTGCCATCTCCCTCGTTATGCTTATGTAACTTCATCGCTACCACTCCTTACCCAGCTGCAAAGCCCATACTCCAAGTATTTGGCGACATAAAAGAGAAGATGGAAATGAACATAGGTGGTCCCCATCTGACCATTTCATTGTTTCAGTTTAAATAGTTGTAACTTCGTATTAATAATTTATACATTGTTAAAGTTTATGTTAATTAAATATTTAAGTACACATTTATTTGATTTAAGAAAAAAAAGTGTTTACCTTTTAAATATATTATCATTCAATATTATCAAACTATACTTAGGTGTCCATAAAAAATATGATTTAGCACATGCTACCGTATTTAATTTTAGTTATAAATAGATTTTAAATTTGATTTTGAGTTTTGTCTCTAATTTGATTTTGTTGTGTTTATAATTTGTTTTTGTTTATTATTCATATGTCGGGTCAATTGTTTATTATAATAGATAAATAAATAAAAAGTTTATAATAAACAAAAACAAGAGAAAGAAATTTTTTGGGCAAAACGATCATTTTGTAATGTTTAGCAGCAGATATATCTAACGTAGTTAGTCATAGAATCAAGCATACAACAAAACAGAACCAAAAGAACCATCCATATAAACAAAATTCAGGAAAGAATGAAAATTGGTATCTTTCATAAACCACAAGGACCATTTATGTAATCTTGTCTGAAAATGTTTTTTTTTAAATGTGTGTAACTGTGCATGGTCGTTGAAAATCTTCTTAATACAAGGAAGTGGTGGTTGGAGGAATAATTTCTAAAAAATAAAAAAGTAAAGGGGTAATAATGTTACAAACCATGTGAGGTTGTTGTTGGGGGGCTATGATTATGAATGCAAGGATGCAAGGTTGACTTTAAGTGACTTTACGTGTCTTAATGTTAAAAAAATAAGAAAAACGATGATACCAAGATACACAGTTGAGTATTGCGTAAAAAACGACTAATGAGTTGGAAATGGAAACTTGGTTTTAACTTACGAAAGTCTTTGTGATAGCTCTTATTGAATACAATATGTAGTAATTCTGATTATGATATTAAATTAAAATTATATTCGTTTTATTTCTTATTTTGATAGGGTTTTGGTAATATCAAAATTTCCACATGAATTTATGGAGTATTGAGCCAATATATGGGTGGGTTTCCTCTTCATGAAATCTTTACGATGGTAACAAATTTGGATATGATTTACTTTCAAAAAATGCAAAAGTTGTCCATAAAGGTTTTGTTATCCATAATTTCAAATTTGCATAAGAAAATAAGAAATGATTAATTGATTAGGATTCTATAACTTCCTGTATGTTATAATGTTTAAAAGTTTGTTGGTAGTTATAAGCAGAAAACTTTAAGCTGCAAGCTGTAGATTTTTTATTTTTTTTATTATTATTTTTTTATTTATTATTATTATTATTATTTTTTTTTTTTTGTAGAAATGTTCCGCATATTATGACTAAAATATAAAAACTAAACTATTTGAAGTAACTTATCCTTAAGTGCATGCTCTCGAACAATTTTTTTTTTGTTGAAGTTGATTTTCTTTTCTAAAGCTTTTAAAAACTCTCAAAAACTCATTACGGAACCTTTAATATGTAAAATATTTAGTTTTTTTTAACATCATCTTCACTTAAAGTTGAAACTTTTGAGATTCGAAATTAAAACCTACTATATTTTAGAGTATTTTTTTAGAACGGAAAACACAACAACCTCCATATACTACTCATTTCTTCTTCAACCAGACTAGCCTCAACCTTTAGCTAAGGGACATATTTCTACATTCACATGATGACATGATACTATAGAGGGACACGTATCTTAGAGTATTTAAATCTCAAACGATGAACATTAAAGTGCATTGATGGTAGTTTGTACTATCATTGTTTTCATCCAAAAGACATGGACACAACATAAACATATACAAGGTGGATCTAAAAAGTGCAAGAGAGATCACGGTTTAAGCTATGCGCAATTTGGATTGTGGAGTGATGCTATTGATGAGGGTGAGGATATTGTTGGGGATGCGAAATTTATAAGCATACGTGCACCAGCATTTGAATATTACAGATATACTTTTAATAATAATAATAATAATAATAATAATAATAATAATAATAATAATAAGAAGAAGAAGAAGGAGGTTTATTTTTTAAGTTTTTTTTTCTTTGTAAAGTTTGCTAAAAAATCAGACGTTAAAACTAGGACTGTTCAATATTTAAATAAAACCGAATTGTCCAATTGGAAAATTTGGATTGGACTATTTTGCTCAGATATTTGGATTTTTGGATTGGTTTTCAACAAAACCAAAATATTTTTTTGGATTTTGGATTGGTTGTAGCTCATAAAATATGAACCGAATAATTCAAAAAAACTGAATAACAATTTATTATTCATTTATTTTAATATATCTATAGTTATTTATTAATTTTGTATTATATTTTTTTCTAATAGGTTCAAAGGGTTTCACCTAATAAAAAACATATATATGTATTTTTTCTCAAAAGTTTTTTTTATCTATAATATACCTTCTTAGTGATTGTTTATAAATTTTAAATCACAACCAAATAATTATTTTTATTTTCTTCTATAAAATTTGGTAATATTATAATTATATGGCGTTTTAAAATGTTCCGATTTTTGAAAACCCAAATTATAAAAACCGATCCAACCGAATTGTAATTGGATTGTATCAGATCGGATTTGAACTTTGTTTGGACTATTTGGATCAATTATTTGAAAACCAAAATAAATTTGGATTCACTTGATTGGATCAAATCGAATCGATCCATCCAAACGAACACCCCTAGTTAAAACAATATAAAATGACAAATTATCCTTATTTGGGTAATAATATTATTATTATTATTAGTTAAAAAAAAAACACTGTTCTGCTCTAAGTGTCGCACCCCCAAACCAAGGATGGCGGAAACGTCCGGGGGTGGAGGACTTCATGTAGAGTATCACAACAATGAGTATAATAGTGCTCAAAGTAAATACAACCAACACAAATATAATTGAAAACGTTACATCAAAGCACATGTTTACATGATTCACATCAATTACATTATAATACAAAATGAATTGTTTGACGATTTATCGTCCCATCCTCAAAACGTTGTTGATTTCCTGTTTTCACTGAATTCCTGAGAATACAAGTAGTTTTGAAAAGTGTCAACACAAAGGTTGGTGAGTTCATAAGAGATTTCGTTAGAAAAGTAAATCGTTTTCCTTGTAAAAGCATCAGAATATGTATCCAGAAAATCCTATATTTTCTTTAAAATCTGTGTAAGGTAGTCTTATGACTGAAGACCAAAATGTATAAGTAATCTTTCTTATTAATAGAAAATGTTATGTATTTAAATGGACATGGACATGTTTGAACTAAATGAAATTTCTATATGTTCTCAGGTTTGTTAATACATTATATATACGTAGTCCTAAATTAGAGGACCGAGTAATAACAAGTATTGACCATACTTAAAAGTATAAATGTGGTTTCAAATGATGTGTAGTCGTAACTACCAAAACCAAAAGTGTACAGTAATATCTGTACTCATAGAGATAAAAAGGTAATTTTAAATCGACATAAAACTCATTTAGGTTTTAAAAATAAAATCCCGTAAACTTATGGATTGTTCCCTATGTGAGCCGTTGTAATCATACTATGACTATGTGAACCTGCCACGACGTTCTCAGTGTCGCGAAAAATAAAATGACATTTGTCACCCGTAGACCTGCAGGTCCAACTGTAGCTAGCAGCAAGGTGTGGGGTGTCAATCCCAATATAGATCTATATACAAGTATCACGTTCTCCCTCAAGGAGATTCTGATTATAACTACCAGGAATTATATTCCCGCACTCGGACGTACGGGGAGAGAGAGAGAGAGAGAGAGAGAGAGAGAGAGAGAAATAGAGAAACTCACAATATAGGATAACAAGTTTACGTTAAATGTGTGTGAATATAAATATTTCTTGTATGAATGTACCCTTCTTGTACGAGTGCGCAGAGTGATGTATCATAAACTATACCTATTATAGTTTATCTAAAATGTATGTAATATGTATGAATCCTTTTATGGAAATGTATTAGTGTTGTGAATTTATCAAACCATAGATTAACTTACGTGAAATGTGTGCGAATAGAAATCTTTCTTATATGAATGTACACTTCTGGTACGAGTGCGTAGAGTGATGTATCATAAACTATACCTATTATAGTTTATCTAAAATGTGTATAATATGTATGAACCCTTTTATGGAAATGTATTAGTGTTATAAATATATTCAAACTATACTTTTTATAGTTAAATAATACGTGTTCCAAAATGAATGGATAATATTTAGTATGAATGTCTTAGTTTCAGTTCATAATGATAAACTAACTAGGAAACACATTCAAACATTAAAACTTATGATTATACACTTTGCTCAACATAATACAAAGTGTTATGATATTTACATGCTGTTGGTAAAATTTAGCAATTCTGCCCTGTTTCGGAAAAATCATAGAAAAATCATACAAAGTCGAAAACTAGATCCGTAAATTCTGAGAGTTCACAAAATGTGTCTAGTTTGCTCATAATTTTTATCACAATTTATAATGACCTCTAACTTGGGTGAAAAAGTCCATAATCACAGACTGGTCCGGATTGTTGTTTGAAGTGATAGGCAGTTTTGTAAAAATCGCCATAAATTGTAGAAAAATCGTATGGAGATGTGCAAGTAGCCATTTTAAAGCTAAAAACTTGAACTATTTGCACCTTGTACAGTTTTGAAAAAAAAATATTTAAGATGCCCAAAACAGTCCGTGAATGGAGTTGAACTTTTCTGATGAAGGCTGTTAGAGAAATTTAGTTATGTTCTTAGTGTTTTAACTTGTATTCTCCCCCTGAAAACTTGAGAAAACATGAAAACGTAGGGGTATGAACTCACCTTGAGTGATTTCAGTAGATGATTGTTGAAGAATGGAAGTGTTTAATTCAAGAACACTTGGAGATGCCTTGAAGGTTTTCGAGAATCTAACATCATAGTTAGGGAGTTTGTGTAAGCAACCAAAGATTTGAGTAGAATGAAGTGAAATAATAATAGGGAGGATGAATTTTTA